AAAATCAAACAAAGAAACAAACTCTTCCCACTTTTAGAATACACAGTCAGCTGAAGGTTTTTTCATAAACAGAAACATCTAACAGAGACAACATTTCAGGTCTCTCTTGTAAATGAGTCCCCGAGGCTCAGTGGGACTAACCTGTATGAATAAAGGTTGAATGATTCTAAAAGTTGAGAGGCATATTGGTCAGGAATGGCATTGGCAACCTAGGCATTAGATAAAAGGCTTTCAATGGCTTAAAGCCTACTGCAGCAGCTAGCCTGTCATGCATAGCCTGGTTGTGTCACTACACGATCTGTTCTGGAAGCATGATCCATACCGTGCATTCAGATCTGGGCGCAGGAGAGGTGCGCCCCTAATTGTCCTATCTCTTGTATTGAAGAGGAGCTAACTGTGCATGTATGACTTTTAATGAGAGTTTATGGGCAAAGATTTTTGTGCCCCAAGGCAGAAATACGTCATCAATCAGACAACGTCGCTGAACGAAACCACTATTAATCATTCACTATACCATACCATACCATACCACTTTATTTATAAAGCACTTAAGGACCTGACGACTTTCTGATAAATTCCATGATGTGAGCGCATCTTGCAGTCCTTGGTCCATTAGCTCTGCTGTGTGGTCTTCAGGGAAAAAAACTTGTTTGGAGGCAAAAGCTTTTTAACTCCCACTGGTCGATGTAGTGTAGAGTTAGGCTAAGATACGGCTCACAAGTGCGGCTGGTCCACAGGTCTGTGGTTGTTGAGAAGAAGGTCACGTTTGTTAGCTGCTGGCCTACGTTTTCTCTTAGTGAAACGTACAACACTGGCTGTGCTTTTTCTGCAAAGAACTTGCGACCTGGCGAGTTGTATATATTTTTTTTCCCTTCTATTCTCTGGTGGAACAGACGTGTCTCTCCACCCCCACCCCCACCCGCTTCCCTGCTGCACTCTTTTGTCCTGTGAACACTTAAAAAGCCTCTTTTTTTTTTCTTTTTCTTTCTGCATGCCTCTTAATTTGAAGGATCAGCTGGTCTCTCAAAATTGATCAACTTCTCCCGACAGGAGTCAGGGTAAGGAGGACCCTCTTACCTCAACGGAAACGAATTGGATTCATGATGACAACTGGTTTTTGCTGTTTGGTTGGTGAAATCTGGTTGTCTACAAATTTGTGTGGAAGTGTTGAAGCTCGACAGTGCTCGGACTGAATGTGGAGCTGCGACAGGGAGTTGGAGCAGCTGTTATCAGGACTGTGATCTCTCTAGCAGCACTCAGGAATGGTGGAATAATCTGGAGAAGCTGTGAGCTCGACTTTTGGAGTAAAGGATCAATTTGGCTGTTTTGGAGTTTCCATCAGAGAATATGTACCAGCAAGACTTTAAAGGCAGAAACAACAATTCACGAGTTCTGCCTGACCCAAACTGTGGCCTTGATGCCGGACTTATCTCAACTCCTCCTGGAATGTTTGGAAAACAACAAAGATGCTTTGTCTGTTTCCTCACCCCTCCCTCCCCCAAGGACAAGGACATGTAACAGAACCTCAATTGAGCTGAAGATGAACGTCACCTCTTATCTGGACAATGGCTGAGGGGGGGCTCTGGACTATGCTACGACTTTCCCTTAAAAATTCAATATTTTCACGGCCTATATGTTCATGTATAACGTCTGTTTATGTTGCTTTGCTGTGGGAGGTTTGTTTGATGCCTCAAATCATGGTCTGTCTAGGACACGGTGTGAGAGACTTTTTTTTATACCGTCTCTCCTCATGTTTTCTTTCCTTTTCTCATCTAAGCAAAATATTATTCTGAATAAGAATAAGAGGCCGCGCTGATTATTTTTAGCCGCAGCTTCGTGCACTCCGCCCATCTTCGGACGACTGTACGTACATATTCACGTTGTATCTCGGTGCAATGCCAATAAAGTTTATTCTGATTCTGTATTTTGCATCAAGAGTCTTAAGATTTTTGAATCCAGGCTTTTCCACAACACTGACAGGAGCCATGTCTTTGGAGATATATTTTGTTACTGCGTCAGTGATTTCTCTCCACTTTGTACTTTTTCTGTCATACGGGATGGCTTTGGCAAACGAAGAAGCTAGTGTCTTCTGCTTCACAGTAGGACTGTGCGATATATACGGCATATGGTAGAAACGATTGAAATTTAGCCTAAGATAGAGATCTGTCTTCTACCAGCTAACCGCAGTAATGCTGTGTCTGAAGTCTGCAAGTGGTGTTAGTCTTTTCTTCGAGAGCTAAGTAGCGAAGCTACAAGATAACTACAGCCGGCTTGCCATAGTGTTGCCGTATTCTGACGCATGTGCAAAATGCTGTGTTCAGTCGAAAGTTTTGTTGTTTTTTTTTTTCCATCATAAGTTAAAGTAAGCGTTGGTCAGCTTTAGAGAAACCTGCTCTCTGATCTGTGAAAAGAACTCTGTGTTGTGTGATTTTACTGCGAGACCCTCTGGTCAAAGCCACAGACTCATTTTGTGTCAACTCTCCATTAAAGCAGAAGGAGGCGCCCTCTAGAGGATGAAGTGTTTCAGTGTAAAATGCTGCTCTGTTGCTGTTCATTTATTAAGAGAGACTGGAAACTTGAGTTAACAACATATTTTTTTTGTTTAAAACATATGGCTAAAACTACATTTGATTTATTTTGCACTGTTTTGCACTACAATAAAGAAGCCTAAAACTTGATTTGTTTATTATTTAAAAACTCTCTGGACCTATAGTGGAATTTTCATAATTCAAAATATGTGATGGCAAAAGGACATGCTATGCTTTTTTTGTTTTTTAGTAAGTTTTATACCAAAAACATATTGCGATATATATCGTTATCGCCACCCTTCACAATACATATTGTGAAATGAATTTTATGCCATATCGCACATTCTTACTTGACAGCTGTATTATTTAACATTTTTTTTGTTGTGTGGGGAGACGTGGACATACGGAGTTTACAACATTCTTCATTTTGCAGTGGATGACTTCTTAGGTGGTGAAATAAATTTGTGATACTTCTTCCTTTCATTTCAATGGTTTTACGACACATTTTGCAAACTACCGCATTTTGTTCGACATCCTTATAAAATCCAAACCACTGCCAGATTATTGGTCCAGTGCTGTTTCTCTTTGTAACTTGTTCATCGGACTCTTCAGTTACCATCTCATTCACCCGCTCACCTGAATCTCCCGCTGTCGCCATATTTTTTCCTCTCTCCAAGTCTATATGCTCATGCTCTGCACAGCATGTCATGCAGAAAATTTTCAGGTTGGGAGGGGGCAGGGAGTAGTGATGCATTCGTAGCGTGTCGAATAAACGAAACTCACAGTGATTTAAGTACGGAAAGCTTATTTGAATGGCAATTTATACTTAATGGTTGCGATAGAGCCATTTTAACTATTGTAAATTGAAAAACTCGAGATACATCGAGTATATTCGATACATCGTCCAGCCCTAATTAGGAATGTGCGATATGGCATAAAATTCATATCACGATTTTATATTAGATATTAAGAAAAAGAAAGTCTGAAAGGAATTTTTTTCACCTCCAACTCCTACATGTGTCCAGTTGACCACTGTTTTTGTCTGTCCAAACAGGTCTCACTTGTAAATGAGTCTTCGAGGCTCAATGTGATTTATCTGTTTAAATAAAGGTTGAATGAAAATGTATTGTGAAGGGTGGCGATAACGATATACATCGCGATATGTTTTTGTTATAAAACTTTCCAAAAAAAAAGCATAGTGTCCTTTTGCCATCACATATTTTGAATTAAGAAAATTCCACTACTAGGTCCAAAGTTTTTAAATAATAAACAAATCAAGTATTAGGCTTCTTTCTTGTGCAAAACAGTGCAAAAGATATCAAATGTAGTTTTATCCATATATTTTAAACAAAAAAATATGTTAACTCAACAGTTTCCAGTCTTCTCACTTAATAAATGAACAGCAACAGAGCAGTAACTGAAACCACTTAACCTCCAAACCTCTAGAGGGCGCCTCCTTCTGCTTTAATGGAGAGTTGACACAAAATGACTGTGGCTTTGACCAGAGGGTCTCGCAGTAAAATCACACAACACAGAGTTCTTTTCACAGATCAGAGAGCAGGTTTCTCTAAAGCTGACCAACGCTTACTTTAACTTTTGACAGAAAAAAAACCTTTCGACGGAACACAGCGTTTTGCGCAAGCGTCAGAATACGGCAACACTACGGCAAGCCGGCCTTAGGTATCTTGTAGCTTCGCTACTTAGCTCTCGAAGAAAAGATTTTAACGCCACTTGCGCATAGTTTTCAACTAAAAAAAGTAACGATTGAACTGAAAACTCTGATTTTACATCAGACACAGCATTACTGCGGTTAGCCGGTAGAAGACAGATTTTTATCGTAGGCTAACTTTCTATCGTTTCTACCGTGTACCGTATATATCGCACATTCCTAGCCCTAATTATAACACTACCAACTTAATCAAGGATCAGAGATTTCACCATAAAGAGCACGCTGAGTTTGTTGAATGGAATTCAGCATCGTTTTTTTGTATCCGTATCAGAAGTGGAAAAAGTGGATCAGTGCATCCCTACTAAAAACAGTTCCTTGTGTGTCCATAATCTTGAACTTGATAAGGTATTTTATGTTTTGTAGACAAGTTATCAATAAATAATTGCTTGCCTGCATGCAAAAAATAAAATAAAATTGTCTATTGTTGTCGCTGTTGTCCATTGTTGTCATCATTCTTTGTTGAAATCAGGTCTCTTGTAAATGAGTCCTCGAGGATCGATGGGATTTACGTGTCTAAATAAAGGTTGAATGAATGTTGTACAATGAATCTGCAGTGTAATAAGTTAATTATTTGATGTTGCACCTTCTGTGGTGCAACCAGGACATTGCTGTGTTGATGTTGATGGTGATAAACCATTTAGACCTGCGTTTCATTGAAACAAATGCAAAAGAAATGCACACACCATTGACGACTTCAGTCAATATTCTACTAAACTTAATCCAGGTAACTGAGTTACTCTTTAGATCATTAAGTCAATTAGTGTTTCTTTGTTTGGTTTTTCTGTTATAGAGCCCTTTGGACCGTGCCCAAGCATCAAAGAATAAGGGGAACAAGTACTTTAAGGCTGGCAAGTACGACAAGGCCATCCAGTGCTACACAGAGGCCATTTCTCTCTGCCCCAATGAGCAGAGGAATGATTTATCAACGTTTTACCAGAACAGAGCTGCAGCTTACGAACAGCAGGTCAGCATCATTTTGAGAATTTGTTAAATTAATTCATTGTATGTTTAGTGACAAAGAAAAGGAAATGGGCAAATAAACACAATAGGGTCCAAAAGTGTTTTAATTGACTTTCTGTAATAAAAATATTAACTCCAGCAATGTTCATAAGCCTTAACTTGGTGCAGGAACATTTCCAAAATATCAAAACCTGCAAACTAAAAACGGTTAAAAGCTTTTACTTCTACAGGTAATGGTGATTGTTGTTTGGTGAATGTTGTAAAGCCCCAAATCATTAGATTAAGTTTTGACTATGCTGAACTGTCACTTAAGATGAAATGGACAGAAGTGGTCCAGGACTGCTCTCAGGCTGTGGACCTGAATCCACGCTACATCAAGGCCCTGTTCCGGAGGGCTAAAGCTCTCGAAAAGCTAGACAACAAGAAGGAGTGCCTAGAAGGTGAGATTTTGTTGTTGGATTTTTAAACAAGTTTGCCTTCAGATATTAAAGTTTTTTTTTTTTTTTTTTTTTTTTGCAGACGTCACAGCAGTATGTATTCTTGAAGCCTTCCAGAACCAGCAGAGCATGCTGCTCGCTGACAGGGTTCTGAAACAGCTGGGAAAAGAGAAGGCCAAAGAAAAATACAAGGTATAAACTAAAACTAATGTTGGGAGTTTTGTCACAATACACAATATGTATTGCAGCATGTTCAAATGTGCCTTTAGTTGCTGTATTAATTAGGGGTGCAGAAAAAAAATTGATTTTTTTAGGCCCTATTTACACGGACACGATGGGGGGAAACGTAGGTTTTTTTCGTATGTTAATTAGAGGAAAAGATTTGCGTTGACACGGTCGGATTTTGGGTTTACATACATCCGCAGGAATCCCCCCCCCCGCCCTCCCGAATCCCCTGTAGTTACCATGCCGGGTCATTAGATGGCGCTGTGAATTTTGTACCTTCACCTAATGTGCATGCGTGCTGCCTCGGCACGCTGTTTTCTTGTGAGCTAAAAATCTCAGCTAACAACAACGTAACAACAAGTTAAAGCTGGATTTTGGATAAGAGTCGACAGATTTGACGCCAAGTGGGACCGCTTCATCTAACAGCTCCACACTGGTCGCTGAGTGGACCAGAACCGAGTCGACGATGTCGGACTTTACTCCGTGATAATCAGTAGCTGTACAGCAGGTAAATCAACGTTCTTAATAATGTTAGTTTGTGTTTAATTCTGTTACAAAACAACCAACTGAGTTTTTATTTTTTCCTGAAAGAAGAAGAAGAAGCTGTCTGCCACCAGGCGGACCGGTTCTGGACGAGGCTCGGCCCAGGTGCAGGGCAGGAGGACGTCGAAGAGGCAGATGTTGATGAACTATTTATTTAAAATTCCCCTCAGTTCTTTTATTCAATCCATTCAAGTTCAGTTAATGTGTTTTAATAGTGTGTACAGTTTAATCATCAGTGTTTGTGTGACATACAGTTTGTGGTGTTGAATAAATAAATAAAAATTAAACCTGATGTCTTCATTTTCAACTTTAGTGTTCACGCTTCATGTTTAGCTTCATTTTAAATTTGAATTACATAATGTCCAGATAGCTTCATTTAGCTCAGAGCTTCATTTTATCTCTCACACTAACATAAATACTGTTTATTATTATTAAACTTATTATTTAGCACATTTAGTATGTTATAGTGCAGCGCGACGTGCGCTTGCCTCGTTCTATAAACAGTGATATTAGAACTGGATCAGACTGTGTCTCTTCCAACACAGATGTCGGTCACAGCACCTGGACTCTGACGTAGATTAACTACAAGATTAAAAATATATTCCATCAGTCGTAGTTCAGAAAGCAGTGTGTCCGCCGCCATGTTGATAGAAATATAGTGTCTGTCCGTGCGTGCGTGTGTGCATGTGGTTTAACACAAAGCCTCAGCGGGAGATGTTCACATTATCAGCAGGGGGTCAGAGAAAAACCTCCACTCTGGAAGGTGGATTCAGAAACCTCTGGATTCAAAGAGGGGGGCCACTGGTGTCGTGTAATTGATCAGCAGAACCACAGAGAGAAAGAAGTGGATGCGCTCAAAATACACGCCGTGTAAACGGCCCCTTAAAGAATCTAGATTCTTAGTCCTGGCGATTCTGAATCGATTCTAAAGGCCCATAAATCGATTTAAAAATGCATTTTAAGTTAAATTTTTTTCCACTCCTATTCCAGAGTGTACTGCATATCGCATTACGTGTCCGCTCAGCCGCCATAGAATTGGGCCGTGTAGGCCACTGTACAACAAGCTAGTTAGCCAGCTCCCTTTATCTGAATGTAGCCTGCTAGCATGGAGGACGGGGACAGAGCGATTCAACCCGCTCCTTTGTCTTTAAAAATCATTTCAGATCCTACAATGTTCCGAAGAAAGATGGAGATTAACAAGAGCACGGTCGTTTGCAAGAAGTGTAAAATACAATTGCAGTACAGTATTGGAAATACAAAAAAATGCGCGGAAGATAAAAGCGAAGCAGCAAAGCAGTGAGCTCTGCTTCCAGCTGATTCTCCAAAGGCTGCAAAGATTTCCATCTCCTGCTATATCACAAAGGATTTACGAGCAGACATCTCAGTGGAAGGTGAGGGGTTCAGGTTTATTTTTAATACGCTGGACCCAATGTACATTATTACTTCACATAGCTATTTTTTTTGTGCTATAAAGCAGCACCAAAAAAAGGTTTGTAGGCTCAACAATATCACCATGAAACAACAAATGGGAGAAACTGATGCAGCTGCAGCTCAAAGGTAACTGTTTTTTCATATTATACTAAAACATACAGACAAGTTGTACAACAAACTTAATGTAATTTGTTTTTTAAACAGGTTGAAGAGATGAGACACACCTGGAGCCAGTTCTAAATGATACAGTTTATGGTTTATAAATTACAGTTCAGAAGTTTTTGTGCAGGTTTATACAGGTTTTGAAATTTTGTTAAAGATTTACTAAATATGAATCAATATGGTTAAGACTGTGAAGTCTATATTTCATATTAGGTTACGTTTTGAAAATTATTGCAAATGTTAGAGAAATATGGTTAAAAAATACCATACCATACCAATTTATTTATAAAGCACCTTAAACAGTGACAAAGCACACCAAAGTGCTGTACAGGGACAAACAGAACAAGCACACAGCAACAGATTACATAACAGGACACCAAAAAGTAGAAACCAACAAAAACAATAATGGATAACAACAACAACCGCAACATGACCAACACAGTGTGATGCACACAGACTCAGCACAGATCACACAGTGCTGAAAGCCAGGGAATAGAAGTGTGTTTTTAAGCGAGATTTAAAAACTGTGAGGGAGGGGGCCTGTCTAACGAGCAGAGGTAACTCATTCCAAAGTCTTGGTCCTGCTACAGAGAAGGCCCTGTCACCTCTGCGCTTGAGACAGGTTCCTGGGACTGTTAGGAGCAACTGGTCTGCTGATCTGAGAGAACGTGGTGGGACATACGGCTGGAGCAGATCAGTAAGATAGGAGGGGGCAGAGCTGTTTAGTGATTTATAGACATACAAGAGTATTTTCAATTTGATTCGAAGGTGAACCGGAAGCCAGTGTAGGGAGGCCAAAGCAGGTGTAATGTGCTCTCTTTTGCTTGTGCTGGTCAAAAACCAGTTGGAGTCTAGCTATGGAGGTCTGACTGATACCAAAAAGGAGTGAGTTGCAATAGTCGAGCCTGGATGTAATGAATGCATGAATTACTGTCTCCAGGTTATTTTTGGACAATATGGGCTTCAGCTTAGACAGTCGCCTCAGCTGGAAAAAGCAGGATTTAACAATCATATTTATATGATTGTTGAGTTTCAGAGAAGGGTCAAGTATCACTCCTAGATTAGTGACTCTTTGTTTCACTAACGGTGACAGAACGGATAGGTCGATGCAGTGGTTGGTGATTGTGTCATTGGGAGGAAACAGCATAACTTCAGATTTCTTCTCGTTGAAACTCAAGAAATTTAAAGCCATCCAATCTCTGATGTCAGCCAGGCAGTCCAGTAACGGTTGAATAGAGCGAGTACCGTTGAGTCTGAGGGGGAAGTAGATTTGGCAGTCGTCGGCGTAGAAATGAAAAGATATGTTATGTTTCCTGAAAATAGCACCTAGTGGCAGCAGGTATAAAGAAAATAAAAGAGGACCTCTGAAGAAAGGTCAATGTACTATGGTAGGCTGAAGTCTGTTTACTTTTGTATTTATGTATTTTGAATTATTTGTCTGTGATGGACTTGAGACCTGTCCAGGTGTCCCCAGCCTCTCACACAGTGATGGCTGAATATGGGCACCAGTGACCCCCGTGACCCGTAAAGTTAGAAGTGGGTAAAGATGATGGATGGATGAAATATTTGTTCCTAGATGTTCCATTTTATTTTTTAAAATTTTTTCAGAGAAAAATCCAGACAACTAAGCCAACTTAATACTGGTAATTTAAGTTACAGAATTGTATGCACTCCTGTATTTGTTCCTATTTTTGGTATAAATATAAAATGATGCAAAAAGATTTGATACAGTAAGGAACCGAAAATTGTTTTAAATAAATGTTCTATTTGTTTACATTGTTGTTTAATCTTTTCAGCTCGTCAGTTATATAATTGAAACAAAATTTACCATTTCAATTGAAAAAGTTTCTGAATCGAAAATCGTTTTTGAATAGGGCATAAAAAAATAAAATAAATAAATATCGATTTAGAATCGAATCGTGACACCAAAAATCGGAATTGAATCGAATCGCCAGCCACTGAAAGATTCGCACCTCTAGTATTAATGTTTAGTTTATTCTGTAGCTGAAAGCAGTGGTGAACTGACATTCTCAGACCTTTGTCCTCTGATTCTTGTTCTGTCCTCGGTTTAACAGACAGCCTAACTTACTACTGTCTTCCCACATAAATTAAGATCAGAAATAATTTTTTTGCTCTGGCTCTAGAACAAAATTTCGATGCAGCTGAGCTGACACATCATCAGATTCCATTTGATGACAACAAACCTGAGCCAACCTAATGGAAATCAACTTAACGACACCAAACTCATCCAACCAAAATTCAGTGACCAGTGATTAGAACACCAGCCAGGTAATGCTTGGTTACTGAAAATGGTCATTAAATGTTACTTAAGTTTAAAATAAATATAGCACAAATTATGACCTGGAACATGCTAATGTGATCCTTGTTAAAGCACTTTAAAATATCTAAATCTATTGCAGTACTATACAAAGTCAGGGAATTATTAAATGATAAAGCTCTGTACATGTTGTATAACACAATCATTGTTCCACATTTAATCTATTGCATTGATGTTTGGGGGAAAGCGTGTAAAACATTTACAAAACCTATTTTTATTTTACAGAAAAGTGCTGTAAGAATTATCACCAGAAAGCATTACTGTCACCATCAAGTACATTATTTTATCAACTGGAGTTATTGAAGTTCCATGATTTAGTAGATTACAGTATTTTATCAGTTATGTATTGGGCTCAAAATAACACATTACCATTAAATATCCAAAGAAATGTTGTTAAAAGACAAAGTTGTTATAATCTTAAGGGGATAGAGATATTTGTCAAACCAAAATTCAGAACTAGTCTGAAGGGAAGGTCTACCTCAATCCAAGGAGT